TCTTAAGTAATTTCTGCAAGGAAATATCAAAGGTTCAAAACAGCCAAAGTAGAACCAATGAATCACTGAAGTAATAATTAGTAAAAATTTATTGTGCCCATGCCAAAAAGTCAGGTTTTGAATTAGGAGCATTTAAACCAAAATGTAGAATGAGGCTCAGGGGTATCTTGTTATAAAGCAGCCTATGTCATGAGAAAGCAGTGGCTATTTATTCTTCACAGTAATTGGCTACCATATGAGAATTTTCAGTGGTTACCTAATACCAACCCTGGGAAACAGTTCAAGTTCGTTTGTCATTTCCAGAGACATAAGCAAGAAATGCTCTAGTTCAAGTTAGCTTTGCAAACTAAGCTAAATTAAGCTTTGTTTGTATGATTAAACTGTTTTTGTCTATTTAGGGAATTTTCAAGGTTGGACTCCATTTGTTTCTGATTTTAACATTACAAAGCAGGTAAGTCTGGATCCAGGAAGAAGCATAGCAACATGTTATTTCCTGCACAGAAAGGAGGATGCTGCATGGTAAATGAAGCCTGCCTCAATGGAACCTCAAAATCCCTCTTGATCCATAATGCCAGAAACAATGATAAGTCCACACATAGGGTCAAGTATCTATCCTAATTATGTTAGGACACTGGATCTGAATCCACAAAGGAGACTCCCTCCCCCTACAAAGCCTCATGGCTTGCTCTTGTCACACTTCAGCTCTGCACTCACCAGCTGCATGACCCTGGGCAAATTTCTGTATCTCTCTGAAACTCAATCCCCTCCTTGTAAATTAAAGTATTACAGGTATAGTAGGAGTCCTAGGAATTTTTCATCCCAAGTGCAGTTTATGTATATTTCTCACAACAATGTAATGAGGTCCTGTTAATACCTGCAGCCAAAGACCATCAGGAGCACACCTGTGGATGAACAAGTTGGTTTTATTGTTCATTGCAGTGAGGGAAAACTCACCAGGGAGAATCATGGGTCATCTTAGTAAGAGAGTGTTGGAACCAAAGAAGCAGAATCAGTAGGAGATATCCATTAATAGCTAGGTAGTTTACACAATTGTCAGATGCACTAAGCAAGTCCAAGATCCACAGGGAAAGGAAAGGCAGGCTGTGGCTCCCAGCACAGGCTAAATTACAGCCCAGCAGGGAAACCTCATCTCTGCTCTTAAGACTTTTCATCTCATTGGTTCTGACTCACGCAAAACCAGCCTCTCTTACTGAAAGGCAACTCATTATGGACTTTAATCCCATCTATAAAATATTTTCAGAACACCTAGATTAATGTTTGAGGACTTGAGGACTACAACCTAGCCAACATATAAAACTGACTATTAAACTAATAGGGTTTGAGCTTGTGTTAGGTGATTTTGAGAAGGATTTAAGAAAGAGAAATTCTGTTCCCAAACCAGGAAAAGACCCCACTAAAAATGAAAACTAATCATCCTGATGAACGTGGATGCAAAAATCCTCAACAAGATATTAGCCAACTGGATCCAACAATACACCAAAAAAATTATTCACCATGACTGTAGGCTTTTACTTGGGATGCAGGGCTGGTTCAATATCTGCAAAACAATCAATGTGATTCATAACATCAAGAAAAGAAAGGACAAGAACCACATGATCCTCTAATAGATGCAGAGAAAACATTTGACAAAATACAGCATCCTTTCTTGATAAAAACCCTTAAGAAAGTAGGGATAGAAGGATCATACCTTGAGATCATAAAAGCCATGTATGAAAGACCCAACGCTAATATCCTCCTCAATGGGGCAAAACTGAGAGCTTTCCCCTTAAGGTCAGGAACAAGACAGGGATGTCCACTCTCATCACTGTTATTCAACATAATATTGGAAATCTTAGCCTCAGCATCAGACAACACAAAGAAATAAAAGGCATCCAAATTGGCCAGGAGGAGGTCAAACTTTCACTCTTTGCAGATGATATGATACTCTATATAGAAGACTCAAAAGATTCCACCAAAAAACTGCTAGAACTGATCCAGCAATGTGGCAGGATATAAAATCAATGCACAGAAATCGGTTGCATTCCACCCTAGAGGAGAAAGCAGGAAACAACCTCCTTGACCTCCACCGCAGCAACTTCTTACTTGACACATCCCCAAAAGCAAGGGAATCAAGAGCAAAAATAAATGATTGGGACCTCATCAAGATTAAAAGCTTCTGCACAGCCAAGGAAACAACCCAGAAAATTAATAGGCAACCAACGGAATGGGAA